ACACTTATCGACAGGAAAGCACAACGATTGGACAATAACTATTTACAAACAAGACGCTACAAGCATATATCTTGACAATAGACCCGGCTGCACAACGAGTTGCAGACGAGACTAGAATCGCAATATAGCTGACACGTAATCTTATGTTAACCTAGCAACACTAGACAACTAGGGACAACACAAGACTAGCCCTGCCAACCACCCACAAAAATAACGTAAATGATGAAAAGGACAGACGAGAAATGAGAAGGACAATGAACGGTGCCAGGGGCTCAAATACAATTGCGTAGAACCCTCGAGGGCTGGAGAACAGACCACAACAATACACCAAAAGCAAAAACAAACTTATCTTCTCTCCAGTCCTTGATTCTTGGCCTCCCACAGAAAGAATGATGAGGATGATGATGACCGAGAACGACAGGCCTCGGTTGATCGGTGTCAGCAGCCACCACTCCACCACACACAACCTTCCTCACACTCTTTACTGTCCGTCAAACTATTTCTCTTATACGTCACTAACTTGTCACGACGCAAACGCAGCCCTATCACATTTAGTCATTATTAATTACAATCAGTCGGAACAAATACGAAAACGATAACAAACTATCACTTTATAGCGCTACGGGTGACCCAAGCCAACCCCGATGTCGCTATCAATAATTAGGAGTAGGCCCGAACAACGATGCAATATTTAAGAGAATAAACTCAGCAACGCCATCACAAACTCACTCGATAGCAACATCAAAATTAAGGGATTAACTCAATCACGTTAGCCCTACAATAGTGAACGACAAAACTTAAAGAAAAATAAATCAGTCAGCTAAACATACAAAATAATCTATGTCTCCTATTTAGACAAATAAATACAAGCACATTGGGTTCACAATTAACGCGGACAACTATTCCTATGTAGCTACTACTATCGATTCAATTCCCAAGGACGAACGCCCCCATAATCTGTCACAAACCTCTGGTATGACCTTGCCGGTCCGTGGCTCGCTAACTAGGCCTATGACAGACAGACTAACCTACAACAGACACTGAACCCGAACGCACACAGAGCACACACGACAATCTTTATTGGAAGTACAGGTAATACATAGACAGTTGACTTCCCGCCGTGTGGCCACCTATTGCCTGGACCCTCTGGCTGGACGGGCTTTACAATCGCCTCGTCCCCAGTACGTGCGACAGGCAATACTCTGGTGTACAAACCACAATCCGGCAGGATACGCTCTCTTCTATCGCCACGCTGACCCAATCAAACTGTCACAGTCTCTGTCTTAGTGCAGGGTCAGAGTGTCCAGGTTAGCCACTCTCTCACAGCACATATACATAAATACTCTACACAAGAACTATCCTATCCTAACACAAAACTGTACATAAACTATCCAGTCACTAACAGAAATATATCCTAACTTTAATACTATAACATAAACTATCCAGTCACTAAACGTCCTCTCTTCCTGACCGACGCACACCGAATGTTCCTTCTTCCTTCTACCTCGTGTCTCTTAACCCCGTTCACCAGCTCAGCCCCAAAAGCAGTCATCGTGTTACTACAACACAGTTCAGGCTTTCTTGCTTTATCCTGAGCGCTGGTTTCGCCGTGCGATCACAGAACGGACTTGACCAGTGACGGCCCTGACCTCTGTGTCAACCCTGGGCGCACACCTTACTGGTACACTGACTGTACTTAATAGGGTTGTGACAACACCCACTGCCTACCCAAAAGTATGTCGTAAGAGTCGACTAATTGGGAGCCTCCTTCGAAGTCAGAGTGCATCTGCCTGAGAGGCAAGAAACCAACAGTCTACATACAAATTAGTCAGATCTGTCAAACGGATGCAAACGCAACACTCAAGTTCTGGAACAGGACTGCAGTCCAGAAGTGGGTGAACATCCAGAACTTTCTACTGGAGTTTACAGCCGGTGAGCGAGAAGAAGAATAGAAAAATTAGATGTTGAAATGGTTCCTTTAAAGAGTGCATCTGCATATGTTCGGCTTACAAATAAACCATATCTGTAAAACAGATGTGCACGCAAAACTTAAGCTGTGGAAGAAGACAAAGTCCAAAAGTGACTCAAAGGCTTGGTAATGACTGGGGAGATTGATGGAGAGGTAACGAGGGGAGGGCAAATAGGGAGATTGATGGAGAGGTAACAAGGGGAGGGCAAATAGGGAGATTGATGGAGAGGTAACGAGGGGAGGGCAAATAGGGAGATTGATGGAGAGGTAACGAGGAGAGGGCAAAAAGGGAGATTGATGGAGAGGTAACGAGGGGAGGGCAAATAGGGAGTTTGATGGAGAGGTAACGAGGGGAGGGCAAATAGGGAGATTGATGGAGAGGTAACGAGGGGAGGACAAATAGGGAGATTGATAGAGAGGTAATGAGGGGAGGGCAAATAGGGAGATTGATGGAGAGGTAACGAGGGGAGGGCAAATAGGGAGATTGATGGAGAGGTAACGAGGGGAGGGCAAATAGGGAGATTGATGGAGAGGTAACGAGGGGAGGGCAAATAGGGAGATTGATGGAGAGGTAACGAGGGGAGGGCAAATAGGGAGATTGATGGAGAGGAAACAAGGAAAGGGCAAATAGGGAGATTGATGGAGAGGTAACGAGGGGAGGGCAAATAGATGAATACCTGGATGGTTTGGCCATATGGATGGACTGAGACATGAGATCTAACCAGATTCTGATGATTGCATAAGACTGGCCTGGCCTCGTGGCTATGTTGAGCTTAGGCCGACCGGGCTAAAATCCTAAGTTCAGTGCTGATAAATATTTCTTCTTCTTTGCGTTCACCAGCTGTTAACTCTGGCGAAAAGTTCTGGTTGTTCATCCACTTCTGGATTGCAGTCCTTTTCCAGAACCTGAGTGTTGCGTGTGCATCTGTTTTACAGATCTGACTCATTTGTATGCAGACTGCTGGTTCCTTGCTTCTCAGGCAGATGCACTCTGACTTTAAAGGAAGCTCCCAGTTAGTCGACTCTTATGACATGCTTTTGGGTAGGCAGTGGGTCTATTCTTGTTTTCCCTACAATAGGGCCCCTGAACCCACACGAGGATGATGATAAACATTTGTTATTCATAGCTCACCAACCCATATGATGAAACATTGATTGTACAGTTTATCTCTTAATCATAAACGTTAATGGTTTCTAGAGATCTTCGTAAACACTGCCCTCATGAATTGAACGACAGATCCACGAAATGAACCCATGACCTTCAGAACATAATGCAAATGGCTTGACCACTTCATCACTTTCCACTCTGAAAGTTGAGGGGTTTCAGATTGTGTCAATCAGGTCATGCTAACTGCATGCCGATCCCAGTATAGCAAACTTGCAGGATGAAGAGATATGTAAAGGGCAATCTGTACTTAGCTGCAGACCTGTAGTAAGGTGTTTTATTTTTGTCATCATCATTTGCCATGCCTCTTAAGCTTTTAAAGCGTTAGTCCATGATAATCCTTCTCATATGACTACCAATATATATATATGTGTGTGTGTGTGTGTGTATATATATATTAAATAGCCAAAATTCTGTTTCTGCGTTCGCTTTTAAAAAGACTGGCACACATTGTGTTTGCTTTACAGTTCGACTGCAATATATGTGCTTTCAGTCCCTCACATCTAAGTATTTGGGAGCAATTTTCACATCTGACTGAAAACTGGACAGAGAAATTAGCTCCAGATGTGCCAAAGCTAATAAAGTAATGGGGCAACTATCTCCCCTGTTGACACACAAGCAGATACCTCAGAGTACTAAAGTGAAACTTATCAGAACTATATTTTGGCCAGCACTATGCTATCAGTGCCAAACATGGACACTTACGTCCTCCAATGAACGTAAAATTGTGACTACAGAGGTGAAATGCCTTAGAAGAAATCACAAAATCAGACGAATGCTAGGAATAAAGCAGGTCTTACAGGTCATCAGAGAAAAAAAAATGAAGTGGTTTGGACACCTAACAAAAATGCCTTGGTACTATCTGCCAAAGCGAGACACACTAAAACGTTACAGCGGGTATAGAGCGAGTGGAAGACCTCTGAAAATATTGAGTGATGGCATTGAGAACAGCCTTGCAGAAATAAACATGTCTTTAATAGTACTCCTGACAGAGCTCATTAACGAATGTTACATCCCCCCCCCCCCCTCCAACACTTCGGTGAGGTCCAAGGTGGAAGAGAAGAAGAAGAAGAAGTCCCATTTCTGCAAATTCTTAATTAGTCATATTTTAAGGGTCAGTGGCTTCATTCGTTCTTCCCCACCCCCCAACTAATGGGGCCACAGGACACACATATTACGTAGGCTGGTGAATTTATGCTTTATTTTCTGTTCTGGATTTGATGCCACTTAGCACTCAGTGAAGAGATCAGATAAATATATAATCAGGCCTTTTTTTTTTTTTTTTTATTGTTTTGTTTAAGGCAGTATGCCATACCTGTGCATGTTTTGTTTTTTTTTTGTCATAATTTTTTCATCCTTAATCTTCTTCTTCTTCGCGTTCACCAGCTGTAAACTCTGACGGAAGGTTCTGGTTGCTCGTCCACTACTGAACTGCAGTCCTGCTCCAGAACCTGAGTGTTGCGTGTGCATCAGTTTTACAGATCTCATTCTCTTGAATACAGACTGTTGGTTCCTTGCCTCTCCGGCAGATGCACTCCGACTTCAAAGGAAGCTCCCCAATTAGTCGACTCTTACGACATGCTTTTGGGGAGGCAGTGGGTCTATTCTTGTTTTCCCCACAATGGGGCCCCGGAACCCACACGGGGGTCATCCTTAATGTAATGAATACTTTATGATGAGTACTGGCCACTCTTTAGACACTTTGTTGTGAGTACTGGCACCTTTGTTTCTAGAAGAAAAAAGCCCTGCATATAATCAAACTACTTCTGATGCCATCGGAGTTGGAACTCTAGTTGCTGAAGGTGTGGATAGGGCAATTATGGGAAATGTCATGAATGCTGTGTTGTCAGTTGTAACTCACCTCAGCTCAACTCTTCTGCTGTCAGTTTCCAGTGGTTGTCATGGATGAAGCAGGTTGTCGCATCTGGTTTAAAAAGGACAACGAGCATGGCCTCCCCAATTCTTTCATCTACCTCAACCTCATTAGTTCAGCCATCATGAAAAACTCTCAGAAGTGAGTCTTCTTTATGTTTGTTTTGTCATGCTCTTTAAGTAGTATAGCAGGTACTGAAATGGGAAATAGAGGGATTGAGGAAATAAGGATATCTAAAAGAAACTTTAAAGTGAATGTTGGCAAAAGAAGCCAGAGGTGCTGGACTGAATTCCATCCAATTTATGTTAATCATTTGTTTCAGTTAGAGTCCAGGTCTGACACTAGCAGCATAGAATACATTTCATTAGTACAGTTATTTTGAGAGCATGCATCTTCCATCTTCCCTGTAGCAACATACAAATGTTAGTCGTAGACTATCTCTCAGTCCTTAAGAAAAAGAATAGGGGATTTTGAGCTGAAATGCTATAGAAAGATTCTCAGAATTTCTTGGATGAAGAAGAGGAGAAATACTGACATCTTGAAGAATCTGAACATCAAGGAAGATTGGCTAATAAACAGCATTATGTCTCGGAATCTGAAATATTTTGGTCATATCAAGTGCCACAAATGATTGGGAAAAAATTATGGCAGAAGGCATGGTACCAGGAAGGAGGGACAGGGGCTGACCAACACGAAGATGGGCACAGGATATAAGTGACTCCCTGGAGTATGAAAGTACATGAGGCGGGAGAGCTGGCGAGAGACCCAGTTTTTTTCACGCAGACCATGATAAAAGTGACATTCTGCAAAGGACCTGCTACAGGATGATGACTACAGTTATATAAACATACACAGAGGAACATAAATTGAATCCTTTCCACTAAAATGCACAAAAAAAATCACATGTGGTCTTGGAGTGTGGCATCCGCCTCGAATGCTGGAGGTCCCGGGTTCAAAAACCTGTGAAGGCTGGGATTTTTTCACATGGACTTCTAGGGATTTTCCCTGGTTTCTGGGTAGTAAGACAGAACGCTTAAGCGTATTGTTGCGCAGTTTAAAAATCCCCAGGGTAGCTTAACAATGCTGCCCGAAATTTGGAGTTAAAAATCTACCCAGAAAATATTTCAGGATTCCCGCCGGTGCAACGGAGTTCGTGCCTTCGCTGAGATTTTTCAGACTCAGGCTTGAGTTAGAAGTAGAACGGAGCAGTTATGGGTTTATGCCCTGATGTTGATCCGTCGACTAAACTGAACTAAACACAGGACCAAAAATGTAGATTATCTCTTTCTAATCTGGGCAAACAGTTCTCTTCATGGGTGGGTTTCTTTCAAGACATCTTCATTACTCCTTCTATCTGTTTTAATCCATGATATCAGAGTGATTGCACAGGGTAGAATGGCATAGAGAAATAAACTGCAAGTCCTCTGACATTCAGAGGTACAACAGGTCAGTGAATAAATAAATCTGTGGTAAGTAAATTAGAGGACCATTTTCACGTTAGCAGTGGAACATACGGACATATGATGCTAGTCTTATATTTTTTATAGATCATCGGCCCTTGATGGGTGATGTTGACAATATCATGCCAGCTCCTTGACTTCCCAGGACTTTGCCTGGTACCAATTTTAAGCTAGATCAATGTGGGAGCCAGGGTCTTTTTTTTTTTTAAATAAAGGCAACTTGATGTGAATTCAAACTGATGACCTTTGTTGTTCTATCTGACTGACTGTATATTTTATCTTCCTTTTTATTCTTATTCTTATTGGAGTTGCCATGGCATAGCAGCTAGATGCTCGCCTACAGATCAAAAGATCGTGGGTTCGCTTCCTGATGGGAACCAGACTTTTTTCAAAAATGGCCTTGGCTTCCAGGTCAACCCAGCCTTGAGTGGGTACCAGGTGCAGTCCTGGGAAGTAAAGGTGGCTGCCGTGATGCTGACCACCTCACCCATCATGAGCTGATTGGTCTATAAAAATGTAGGTCTAGTCCCATGTGCCCAATACGCCTAAAGGCGTGAAAATTCCTTTACTTTACTTTTATTCTTATGTGTCTGTATATTTATATGTATGTCTGTTATCTGTCTGTATAGTCTGTCCACCCATCAATCCATTTTCACTTTAACCTGCCTGTTTATTTATTACAAATATCTATCTATCTGTCTGCCTATCTATCCGTGACTTTGTCCTGTATGCGTGTGCATTTACTCTGTCTGTTTCCTGTGTCTGCATGTTTCTCTAGCTGATGGTCAGATAATGTTCTTTTTAAATGTTTTGGAAGTGAATGATGATGAAATTAGTGAACTAGATACACATTCGTGCTTGAATGTGTTTTGTCATATTTTTGCAGCATTGCACTAAGTGACATTTTTCTGACATTGGTCCTGCATAAGCTAACAGAAACACTGTACAATGCTACAATGGCAGGATATGAGTGAGTACACTTTGTCAAGTTGCTGATGTATTTGTTGTGAAGATTCTAAAGTCATGGAAGATGATGTTCTAGAGAGACTGTGAAGAGAGTTCTTTTACATTTATGCTTTGAAGAGTGGTTGGCACTTGTATTGTGGTTTACAGCCAGGGTGAGTTAAAAGAGATAAAAACGAAAAGAAAAAAAACAATGGAATATTTGCCTACATTAAAAGGCATCCCACTCTTAACCCATTGGATGGGAAAGTTGAAAGCAGATGAGCAGGAGGTAGACAATAATGCCAATGGGTGAATAACATCAAGAGATCAACTCTTTCAGTCCTATGGAATTTCACATCAGAGGACCAAGGGGTCAAATGGGGGATTAGGCATGGCTGAATATTAAGCTTCAAAGTTATTTTTTGCTTCTGACAGTGCTTTGCTATTGTGGTTTCCTCATATGGACAGTAGTCTACAGTTTTGCTGCCTGAGCTTTAGTGCTTGGTGCAGCCCTGTGAGCTGTGTTTTTCATGTGGAATGCCTTTCATTTGTGCAGTGGTTGTGTCGTGGTATTCAGTACTGCCGATAGACGGTATGTGAGCTGGGGAATTACATTATGTGGTGGTTCTTCATGTGTATAGCCAACTTAATCGTGCCCGACTACCCGACTACTTCCGTTAATGAAAGACTGCATTTCTGGTGGGAACTGTTGGCAGCACTAACCCCAGCATTTTTTTTTTAACTGTTGTGATTTTTCTAGGCGTATTTAATGTTCAGTAATTTGCCATTGCTGTCTAAAACGGTCAGCTGTTGGTACCTTTGTCAAAACCAGAGCAAGACAAATTTCCGCAGCTGGGATCGAACTTGGCACCCTAGCATTACGAAGTCCGTTCGCAGTGGCTAAGCGACAGACGCTGACCTATGACTATGACTCAATGCATTTGAATTGAGTGAAAAATTGACATCACAGCATTCTGCACATTTCTGTATGTGCTCTGTCCTCATCTTCAGTGACCAACAAAGAGTTCCAGTGCTGATGCTACTAGTAACAGTTTGATTATATGTCTGTCTTATCTTTCATCTTAGTGTATTCTGACAGCCTGAACCCCGGTTACTCCTTGATGCACTATTTTCTTTTGTTATGAACCTGAAATATGTGTACTTTGACATTTACAGATACTCAGTGGAGGGAACACCAGAAGGGATCATTCTCATTATTGGAGGATACAGTGAAAAAATTAAAGTAAGGAGTCTGTTTGAATGTTTGTAATCTTTTTCACCTTGTAATTTCTAGCTGTCGATTATAGAGAAAGCAAATCACACACATAGTGTGGAGTCCATTTTGGTAAGGAGTCCATTTGAATGTAATCTTTTTCAGCCTGTAATTTCTATCTGAAGATTATAGAGACCAAATCACACACATAATATGGAGTCAGTTTTAGTTGGGAGTTTGTTCTTTTGTTTGCCTACAATAAATTATATATATTTGTAATGCTATCTGTAGTATGAACTTCACTATATGTTTTTTTTTTTTTTAATTGACTTGGTGGCCTGTAAGGTTGAGCTTCCAGCACTGTCTCTCTTCGCCAGAAGTTTTGCCTGGAAATGATGTATTGGGACAGTTTTGGAGGACATGATCTGTTGTCTCAGGTGCCAGTCCACATGTGCACATGGCTGACTCACCAATCTTACATTTGTATACATGTGGCTGCAAAGTCGATTATGCCCTGTTCTAAGGCGTAGAATAATAACTTGTGTCTTTCCATAGTATGGTAATTGTCTTGTGCCAGGTTTGATGGCTTTGCAGTTGTTTTGATTATTCTCTTATTCTGTTGATAAGAATGTTTGTATAATGTTTCCCTTGTAATTTCTAGCTGTAGATTATTCAGAGAAAAAAATAACAAATTTTAAGGAAACTATTTTCTAGTTGTAGATTATTCAGAGACTCCATCACAAATATTAAGTAGTCCATTTTAGTGTTTCTAATGGGTTTTTCTGTGATTTCTAGCTGTACATCATAAGAGATCACCAACGATGGAGTTTTCCACATCATCACTCAGTAGATTGGCAACAGTCAACCTGTTTTAACACCAGTGAAGCCCGGCTCTCTAGCGGAATTGGCTAAAACCGGATTTTGCGGAGACCGGGGGACGTACTCCTTGTGGTCCGGGTTCAATCCCGGGGGTAGGCAGGAAAGCCACATTTTCTCCCAGATTGACGGTATTTACAATGGAATCAAGGTCGAAAGGTTGCGATATCCATAATACCGAGCCTAAGGGTTAACAACTCATGGCTTCTGGATACTAAAACAAACACCAGTGAAAGAAATATAAAATGCAATGGTGTGGAAATGTAACAAGATCTACTAACCTCTCCAAAATTATCACAGGGCTCATACTTCATACGTGTCATACTTCTTCTACTTGAAAAGCCTCCCCTCATCTTGGTTGGCTGGGTTTTACTTGCTTCTCTTTTTGACTTATCTATGGTTGGTTGGTTTTTGTGGCTATTGTTTTTACAGGATGAGGTACCCAACCTCAAGCCCAACCCTACCCTTAGTCTCCTCTTACAACATGCCTGGTAGGGTGCAATGTCACTACGCTTTCTGTTAGGGCCTGGGTGACATACAGGCTAACTCTTTCACTACCAGAAGATTTTGTTTTAAATTGTTAAGAAAATAAAAGACACAGTGGAAAGAGCATGAGTGTATTACTTTTAAAGAGACAACATGTACTGTGCTGTATGTTAGCATCAGTGTGTATCAGACAACCGCTGGTGTGTAATAATATATTTCACATTTGGTTGGAGCATTCTAAAAAATCTTGCTAGATGAGAATGAATGGTGGAACTCTATTTGTAATCCTTATTAAATAAAGCTTGTTTGTTTGTTTGTTCATATATAGCCATCTGTCTTTGGAATGCTCAAACCAAATGTAAAATATATAATTACACGCCAGTCATTGCATAATGCACACCGATTCTAGTTGATCACACACAGTGTGCTGGTTGGGATAGAAAGATTGAACGAACCTCTCCCTCTTTGCATCGTTTACACTCTTTTGAAGTTATCCTTCCCCCTGAATCACTGTCTGCCTCTTCCTTGCTTACCTACAGTTTTTCCTTATTGGTTTTAAAAGAGTGTTTTTGTCTTTATATGTTAGTTGTGTATCCTTTGTTGCAGATGTTGCAGAACCAACTCCAGCATTTCTTGACAGTTTATGGTTTCACAAAGGCAGTTTTACATTCATCAGTTTGTCATTGCTTTCTGAACAGACATTTCCTAATACCCCTGTCAAAATTAAAGCAAAGCAGTCTGCTGTCAAATTGCCCACAGCTTCAATTGAACTAGGTACCTCGAAATTAGGAAGCATGTGCGCAACGCCCAAGCCACAGATGCCAACGTCTTTAAATAAGGCTAGAATTAAAAACCAGTGAAAAGAAAACCAAATATCTTGATTAATTTTTAAATGACCAATATTAACTGCTTATATTTCACAGTTAGTAACGCAGGACGCACTGAAAGTGTTTCTAGAACTAGAACTCAACATTGAGTCCTTCCTGTCCGTGGTGTCGCATCTGAAACAAGTTTATTATAACGAGCTGCTAAAACCTGTTGAATTGGCCAGGTAATATTTAGCATTTTATGACAACACAATTTTTTTTTTCAGTATTCCTATTGACTGTAGCTACAAAACCTTTTCACATTCACAGTAACCAGAAAAATGCAAACACATTGACTGAAACACTGAACTGAATGTATTTGCCATGTTATTAAGTTGTCATTGTCAGTATTTACCCTCATTGTCTGCTGCTTGGGTTATTTGACACAAATATAGCTTTCAAATTAAATATTTATTGGCAGAAGAGGTGGAATTCAAAACACAAACTGTAGCCTTCTTGGGTGTGGGGGGAGGGCATAAACTACCTCAGCAACATGAATAGCAGTATTTGTAAATTTATCAGATAAAACTTGGAAAGTTAAACCATTGAACTTTGACAGTATCATCATTTTCAAGAGTCATCTCTGCAGTGAAAGTCTGCAATATATCATGGAAAGATATCAAACCAAACAAAAAGTTAAACCTGTCAGCTTCACAAACAGACGAAAAGTGAACATGTCCCTAGAGAGCTGTTATCAGCATATTACATGAATGTACATAGCCACAAAGAAGAACAAGAATACATCAAATCACATAACCCATTGACTATTAAGACTGTTAACCATTACACTTTTCTAGATACCACATATATTAGTGCATACTAAATATGCCAAAGCTTCACAAATGTTTTGAGCATAAACTTTCCCACCCAAGGGATGTGATTATCTATAAAGATGGGTCTGTATTGAGGGGAAGATAAAGTGCATGGGGTTTCATAGCAAATGCGAATGGACGTCGCCTGGTGCAGTAAAGCCTTGCATATGATATCACATCTAGTTTGAGAATGGAGGTAGAGGCAGAATTTGCCGCCTTCTGCTGGCTTGAGAATCAGCTGTACACACATGCTGTGATTGTAATTGACTCACAGAGCATGTTGAGAAAGGTGAAAACCGGCATGCTTCGTGCAGAATGGCAAGCATCACTTCAGAGGTCCCAATATCCTTTGGATATTTTCTCCAGGTGATGCCAGAATGTTGGGAAAGGAGCAGGTTGATAGACTGGCTTGCTCTGCACCACTTGGTGGTGAATTGATGTATGACAAGTTAGATATTGTGAGGGCCCTTTGGGAACAACTGAACAGTGCGGAGGCACAGATGGATCATTATGAGGAGAATGGCGCTGCGAGGAGTTACCAGGGGATCTGGCCAACACTCAAAACTCAGGGGACGGATAAGACAGATATACAATCAGATGCTTGCTGGAGCCATCGGAATTGGAACTCTTCACTTGCTGCTGGAGATAGGGACTGAGCACTTACGGGAGAGAATACATTTTAAGAACAAAAACTGTGTAGTCTTGTTTAACATTTTCATCAAGTGGCAGTCGATTGGTGCACACACACAAATTTTTTTTTTCTCACAGCATT